CTTCTTCGGTTGATTTCCCTCCATCTGGACTTTTAGCATCGTCTAATTGTGACTGTTTTTTCTCATCAGCCAGCTTTCTCGCTGCAGCGTCCAACTCCGCCAGTTTCTCGTCCTGTTCAGCGAAGCGTTTTTCCAAGGCACGTTTCTCTCCCTCACTTGTTTTTTCGTCTTCAAGTAGCTTTTTGATTTCTTCCTGGTCTTCACGAAGAGCTTCTGCCTGCTCCGTTATTCCTTGCTCGTCCATGGCTTTTTTTATTTCTTCGTCAAGCACTTGTTTGGACGCCTTGGTCAGGCGGTGTATTAAAGGCCCTCTTTCCTCCTTTACCTTGTCAATAATCTAAGAAAAAAAATAAACTTAAGAGAAAAAAATCGAAGCACAAAGGGATTTAAGGGTGTTAATAGTTTTCTAAGTTGTGTAAACTCCAAGAAACTGTAAAACGCATTTGCTTTATTCTGCCATTTTCTTCAACGAATAAAGAAACAAATGACATCGAGGAAATCTGGCAACGTATTTAGAACATTTGACTGTCTGAAATTATACTTCATCAAACAAATTCGCGTGTGCCATGTCGAACTGACCACAACAATGATTATCTGCAATTACCGAAGGTAATCAATTACCTTTAAAAACAACATGCTGATATTTATTATTCAATTTCCTTCGACTGCTTACACTAGGGCGTATAGGTGTATTTGGTATCTCACTAGCGGAGCTCCAGGATTTGAATTTCGGTTTTGCGAAATTTCCACACTTAGGGAAATACTGCAACCTATAAGAATTTGGCAGTGACCTCTTAGGTTTAATGCCCTGAGTCAGATGAATATTTTTGGAGACTACGACATACAAAAGAAATCAAAGGAGGACAAAAATAAGGCTTTGAGAATTTAGTCTCTCGAAAGGAAATGTCTGACGAAGTGTCCAAAACTTAGGCTGTGAGTTTTTATGTTCCTCTTAACCCTTTATACACTATGGCACTGACAAGGAGAATTTGTTTGGTAATCAGGAGCCTCTTAAAATGGTGATCTTTTCCCCTATTCTCGTAACCTACACATTTGATTCAAGAAAGATACTGAGAGGAGATTTTAGAAGCCAGTCTCTCTTAGGAGTTAAAGGGATAAAAATGGCTAATCCTAAAACCAAATGAATTTGAGAAAAAAGGAAAGAAAAGAAAAGTGATAAAAGTTAACCCGAAGAAGGGTTAACCATCAAAAGACTTTCAAAGTTCCACCTTAAAAATATATCACTTTCCTTGTGTAAATATCTTTTTTATCTTATTCAATGTCACACTCCTGTGACAGGTGCAAACCGCTTTCTTCGAACGATCACTATACAAGAAATTTTACTCATTTGATATGGCTTAGCTTTTGTCTTTTTTATAGAGACAAGTTACACCATTACTAATCAACGAAAAGGCTAGTCACCTATGCAACTGCTGACCTACAACGACCAAACCTACAGATTTTGCTCTCAAAATGGACTTTTACCTGAAGTAACTTAGAGACCTGCCTCTTACAATCATCAGGATTTTCTGTAGGATCCAAACTGTTGTCGAACAGCATTCTCCTTCCTCCTATCTCCTTCATAAACTGTTGGACCCAATCTGGCAAGGTAGAGATGTACCATGTCAAATGGTCTTCAATGCTCCTCTTCTTTCTCTTTGCGTCGCGGGCAGCCTGGTCGCCATGTGTTAGAATTAAAATCATGTAAGGTTGGGCTTCAGTCC